GCAGACAACTTTTTTATTTTAAGATTTTAATTTTATGATTTATTTGAAATCATTTACACTACAATCAAACGACATACATACTCAATATAATTAATCTAAAAAAAAAATATAATGAGAAGAGTACATGGCATAAGAAATGAATGGAAAATTGTCAACCGTAACAATTTGATTGTGTGTAAAAACACAACATCTAAAAGGCTCTCAACAAAATTAGCAATCTTCAAAAATAAAATAAAAACAAAATCACAAATTCTATTTTAAAAATACTTTTGATAACTTTTTATTTTTGATTTTTTAGCGATTTAAACCATTAAACAATTTGTCAACTGTACAAAGATTTATAACAATAGATTAAGTAGAGAGAGAAAGAGAGAGAACAACTATTATACAATAAAATGGTAAATTACTAATTAAGTAGGCATAAAAGTGTTAAAAAATAATTTTTAATATGAAAATTCCGGAAAACTATTCTTCTTCTCATTTCTTGTTCTCATTTAATTATAATTACAGTATTTAAAAATTTTTTTCTTATTATTTAGAATAAAATGTGAGAATTATGTAAAAAATTATTAAATGAAATTTTTGTAATAGGTGTAAAATATTAATGATGACTTTGAAATGTTTAATTTCTAATTAATTTCTAATTAATCTTGATTTTTCGGGCCATTATAGTTTTAATGAGCTTCTGACTGAATTGTAAATAACATTTTCCAATTTAATATCACATTTCACTGCTCTGAATCAATCAATAGTCGAAAACAAACAATTAACCGTTTGCCCGAATAAATCTATAATCCGATAGATGGCTGAATAATTTTTGAAAATTTATTAAAATTTCTCTTAGACTATAATATCTGAATTATAATTAGTTTTTATGTCAATAAATTGAAAAATGAGTTAAAAATTTAATTTTTCTCATATTTTCAAATATTTTCTTACAAAAATTTTCCAATAATGTGGGAAATATTTTTAAAAATTTTAACAAATACTTTTCAGATCAAATAATTACTCTATATAGAGAACAAAGAAAAATTCTAATTAAAATAATCGGGAAATAAAAGAGAAAAAATTATTATTTTTTTTTTGCTTTATTCTTTACGAAAAGCACTTTACATTCTATAACTATTATACTTGTATTATTTTCTATTATTAATAAAATGAAATGATGTTAAAAGGTCAAATAATTTTTTACATGCGTGTAGAACCAAAAATCCTTCATAATTTTTTTTCTTTTCTAATTAAAATTTTTCCTTATTAATACATACAATACACCGATTATTTTAAATATTTTTAAGATCTAATAAATTCTAAAGTATAAATTTCATTAATCTTCTAATTATTGTATATTGCTATATTATTTTAGATGATATTTTATTAGCTTTGAATGTTATATATAATAATTCTATCTCTCCGCATACTTATATATGAAACACACATTATAATAAATATCAAAGACTAATTATACACCATAAAACACTAAACAAAACAATTTTTAATTTGTTGGTTACTTTAATAACTTTTACGCCTAAATGAATCCGGATACAAGCGTTTTTACGCTTGTTTTTCCTTTTCTTCTTCTTCTGTTGTCTTATTGTCGTTTCTTGTTTTTTGCCCCAAAAACAAAAACACAACATTTTCCGCTTAACTTGATAACACTATTATGTTAAAATATTTTAATTTCATTACAATAGATGTTATAGTGAGCTACCGTGATATTTTACATACAACAATTCGTGTATAACATCTTCATAATATGACCCTAACTATTATATAGTATAAAAACAAAATTAAAACAATATTTTTTGGTTACAAAATTTAAAAGAAGCTTTATGTAAGTTCAAACTGGGTTCTATACTATTGATGGTGTATAATATGTATGTATGTTTGTCTTATTAAATTTAAAACAATATGGGGAAAAAATAAAACTATAACAAAATCAGAATCCAAAACAGAAAAAGTCCATCGAATTTAGAAACTATAATTAAATACACACAATTTAAAGAAGTGCTAAAAAAACGCGTATAAACAATTAGACAAGAGAAAAAAAAATATAGCTAAGTACACACGTCGTACATACATAGCGCTATCTGGTGAATAAAAACAAAAAACAAAATAAAAATTTGCGTATAATAAAATTCGTTACGTATAATGAAATTTTCGTAAATTGCGCTCTATACGCTCTGTCTAATTAAAACCCAAATAGATTTAACACGAAAAATTCAAGAAGAATAAGAAGAACACCTTTTATTTTAAAATTACAAAACAAAAAAAAAAATTGAATAATCAAAAAATTTGTTATTATTTTGCAAACAAAACACAATATAACAATTTTTTTTCCTAACAACTGGAAAACTGATGGTCAAAATAACTATCCATCATTAGCGTCATCGCATTGTACTTGTATCACATATCTACATTATACTTGTACATTTATTACCAATGAAAAATACCATTTACATGCATAAATGTGCATTGTAAAAAATTAATAGCAAAGCGAATGAATTTGTATGTGCCTACCCTCTTTTAACAAAAAATTTTTATAATGGATAATGCTCTACTATGGACTCTAGTCTATAGAATTGTGTTAAATTTAAGTTATTCAAGTATTATTTATTCAAGTTTTTATTCTCTTTTGATAAGAGTATTGCTCTTCAAAATAATTTGAATATTTCAAGTGTCTAACAATATTACACATGCACAAAATATTTGAACAAAAACAAAAAGTAAAACAAATATGTACACAAAATGTTGTGGTTGTACGAAAAAACTAAAGGATACTGCCAAAAAAAAAATTGCATACATACTTTGTGTTACTTATATTGCATACAAAATTAATAAAATATTTTTGAATAATTCTTAGAATTAGAGAGATGTAGTTCAGAAGAACTAATAAGAAAATAATAAACCATTTCTCGATTCGCATGACTGTGAGTTCCGAGTGAAAACACGAAAAATACTTATAATTACTCTGTCTCTTCTAGTTCAGCATTTAGACTTATTAGCAGTTTCAGTTTGTACACAGTGACCAAATCAACTTGATATTTCAAAGAAACATTAACTTTTCTCCGTCTACTACCGTTGACAAAATGATGGCACAATAGTGTTATCAATTTATATAATATTTACCTTTATATATTTATTGATAACAATACCAATAATTTAATCATGACATTAACTTTAACTTTACTCTGATGTGTGCTTATTTCCTTCACGCATCTTAATAAATAATAACACAATTTTTAAAGCTTTTTTTTTTAAACACAAATGATATTTAAGTCAAAAATTATTACCATTATTTTAGAGCAAGAATTGAGAAAAGGAGGGGAGGGAAAAAAAAAGAGTATTATTGATAATTTATTTAGGTATACATATTTTAGGTGCATTCTCTCTTGTTTCAAATAATTTTGTTGTACCCATAGTTCCGAAATTAATTGAATTAATCTTCTTAATGTAAAAAAGTCAAAAAACAAAAAAAAAAAAAGAAGAGAAAAAAATAAAAAAATTTCGAGGACTTGCTATACATTTTTCGATTTTTTTTTTTTTTTCTTTTTAAAAAAATATTTTGAATCGAATCCGAATATAATAATAGTAAAAGTACGAAGTATTGTTAAAAAGTTTTTGGAAATTTGAAGTGTCGTATTAAAATAACTCGAAACTCTATTTAGGAAGTTAGGATTATTATGACCCATTCCAGCTCAGCCTATATGACACAATGCCCCTGATGTAATGCAGTGTTACAGTTTTACAAAACTACCAGATTTCCGGCTTTATCAGAAATCCTTTATCTAAGATTCTTATTGCTAAGTTATCGCTTTGTACTTTTAGAATAGTAAATTAGTAAATTTTGCAAGCACTAGTAAATTTTGCAATATCAAAGCCATCTTCTAGCAGACAAAGTATACAATTGACAGTTTTTTCCATCTGTCTCATTCTTTTACATATTGATCTTAATGAGACATTATTAAATGAACAAGTCAATTGCCATAACTTTGTTTATGTTTATGTTATACTCAGTTCACATGTAAACTTTTCAAGGAACAATATGCCAGAAATTCTTTCCCACCCTTCTTACTATATATTCGCTTTCATTAATGAATTTTTTTTTTCCTCTATATTTTTCATATTCTATACTCTATATTCTTTTACGTAATATGTCTACGTTTGTGTGCGTGTGTGTGTATGTAAACATTTATGTCTGAATTTAAAATTAAAAGCATTAAGCAGTTAAGTACTGCGAAAAATATTTTTTTTTTTGTACTTTTTATTTTTCTTTCTTGATTTTATTGTTTTTATTGTTGTATACGCTTTTGATATGATCGCGGTAATTTTTTTTTTTGACTATCATTTCAAACTTACACTTTTTTGTTTTGATTATTATTGTTGTTAACTCTTTTATTATACTCTTGTACAAGTTTTGTTTTGTTTTTGTTTCTTTTTTCACTCTTGTTTTATTTTTCGTCTATAACTTTGAACTACTTGTATTGTAAAATGTAATTGTAGATTATCTCATCTCATAAATTTACTTAATACATTGTATTGTATTGTGTAGTGGAAAATTCTCTCTCTCTCTCTCTCTCTCTCTCTGTTTCTCACGATATTTGTATATTATTCTCAATTCTGTTTGAAAGGAAAATCCCTGTGCCTGTATAGTAAAGTAAGTAATCTAGAAAAGATGCTCGCATTTTTACTATTCGTACTAAAATGTACAATTAAAAGAAAAAGAAAAAACAGCAAAATAAAAAAAGGGTAAGGGGGGTATTTTGTTGAGTGCAAAAATTAAAACAACAAAAAATAATAATAATAACAATAATTACTTGCTCTACACTAATATTAAAAAGAATCTTTATTTTATAACTATTTTTTTTCCCCATTTTTACTTACTATTATTATTATTATTTTGTTTTGTTTTGTTATTATTATTGTAATTAATTTGAGAATCGTGTCCGGATCTTATTATATAAAAGCTCTGGGATTTGAAGATCAAAATATCAGTTCTCTATTTGCATTCAAAAGTAATTCATTACATGATTTTTAGTACACAAAAAAAATAATAAAAACAGAAAATAAAAAAAAATTCAAAATAAAATTTATTCGAAAATAATTATTAATTTTTATAAATTCTTAAATTAATTTCGAAATTGAAAGAAAATAAAAAATAGTGGTGTAAAAATGAAATTGGTAATTAAAAAATATTTTTAATTTTAGAAAAAGAATTTAAAAGAAATTTTGAAGTTACAAGTGATTCAAGTGTTTACAAAATTTTTTAATAAAATTTATGAAAAATAAAAAAAAATTATTCAAAATGAAAATTAAAAAAAAAAAAAATATTAATATCCTTTTTTTCAATCGTTCTTTCTCTTCTCTTTTATACAATCGGATATCGAAATAACAAAAAAAAAAAATATATCGAAAAATTTTAGTTACTAATAACCATTTTTACGATAATTGGATTATCAACGGCTGCACAATTATCTAATACATACTTACCACCACCATCAGCTGGTTCAGCTGGTGGACATGGTGGTTTCTTACAAGGACCATCATCATCACATCATCAAGGACCATCAAATCAATATGTACCACCGAAAACAACATTTAATCAACAAGGACAACCAGTACATTGGAGTCATGGTGGATGGAATTCTGGTGGTGCTGGTGGACAACAAAATAGCTGGCAAGGTGGACATAGCGGTGGTGGAGGTGGTGGTGGTGGTGCTGGACATAAATATGGTGGTAGTGGTGGACAAGGTGGTATTGGTGGATATGGTGGTCAACCATATCATCAACCAGGTAAACCACAAGTACCAATATTAAGATTTGAAAATGAAAATGATGGTAGCGGAAATTATCATTTTGAGTAAGTGTTTTATATAATTAAAATTTTTTTATATTTTTTTTCTATTTAATAAAAATTTTAGAATGCATATTAATAATTTTGAAATGTGAATAAATTTTAGACATACCCTACGATTCGGAAAATTCATTTACTTAGTTGTGTAGTTCAATTTCTACAATTTACGAAGTTGAAGAAATTGAATATTTATGAAAAATATACCCAAATTCATATATAGTCCGTCCAATTTCTAATTAATCCAGTCAACTAGTAAAAATCTTATATACTTAAAATAAATCCTACTGTTTGTTAAATCCGTCAAATTTATTTTCTAGTCGGAATTCATGAACCCTTTGCTCATGAGTTTATCAAGATTATTAATAATTCTTGTCTTAAATTTATATTTATTAACGTTCTAATATAAACTGTTATACACTATTAGCTTTGCCAACTTCACGACTTAAATTAATTATTTAAAATTAATATTTTTCAATATTTAAAAATAACTTGTCATTTATCATAATAATAATAACAATAATGTATTCGAACATGCATTCTTAAAAGATTAATGAATTTTTAGTACAAAATTTTATTAATTGATTTGAAAAGAAATAAAACTATTAATAAAAATTAATTAATTATTTCGAATTTAATAAGAAATTTTTCTATATATATATTTATATATGTATGACATGTGTAGAAATTTTAAATGCCATTCTATATTAAATAAGAATCGTGATTATTTTCAAAATAAAAAACATTATAAAATTTGACACTAAAAACCTTAAAATCACATCCGATTGCTTGATTATAATTTTGCATTTCTTATAAAAATTGCGGAGCTTTTGCCAATTCTTAGAAAATTTAATTGCATAATTTAAAATTTTTTTTTATAATATTATATTTAATTTCCGATAATTAATAATAAATATAAAAAGATCCGTTTAAAAATTTCTAATTAATTTTGATAAGAATTTCGAATTTTAATCTCAATCTAAGAAAATGCAATATTCTTTATACACAAATTATCAGTAAAAAGTTTTAATTTTCTATATACATATACCTATATATTACGTATATATTACGTATATATATGTACATACATGATATAATAATATTTTAATAATATTGATTTCATTATTTCAAAGGAATGCCCTCTAAAAAAGCAACAAAATTTCGTATAACAATTAATTATATGAAAAAGCAAAAAAAATTTTACGGTCAAGTTTATTGCGATAACTGTTTGCGATAATTTTGATTTTAATAATCTCTTATACAATAATATTTTCTTCTTTATAACATTTTTAAAAAAGTGACGTAAAAGAGAAATATATAATATCATATCACATATATATATATATGTATATACTCATTATATGCATACATTATTTAAATTTATAGTATAATAAGGCGGAAAAACCCTCTACATCTAGCGAGAATATTTTAAAGAAAACTTAAATAATAATTATTTCATGCTAAGATGATTTTTTTTTTTTTTGTTTTTGCAAATTTGAAATAATTTATTATAGGTTACTAACTTATAGTACAAATATATGGACATTATAATATATAAAATGCGGTAATAGTATTATAATTATATAGAATTAGTATACTAATGAAATTTCATGTACGTATAATATGAAGCATTTTTTTTTTAATTATACGAGAAATAAAAGCAAATGAAAATCATGATAATTTCCAAAAAAAAAATAAGCTAGTATATTATTATTAGTCAAATCGAAAATACGATATAAGAATTGTGGAAATGTAAATGTACTAATTAAATTCTGATGTTATTATAATTTGTACTCGTATACAAATTACATGTTCGAAATGCCGATATTCTGATCAAACAATGAAATTAAATCAAAATTATGCTCTTCCAGGTGTTAACATTTTACGATCAAAGGAGAAATTTTGTAAAATTAAATTTTCAATTATTTTCATTACTTTCTGGTATTTACTAGTATTTAAATATGTAATTCAATTTTTTTAACAATCAAATATATTTAATCAGTAACTCCGGCTTCAAACAGTTGTTTTTACATTTAAATTACAAAATTAAATAAGAATATTTCTTAAAATCTCTACAATTTTTTCGAAAATTTATAAAAATTTTTAAATTCTTACTAAATATCTTCATTTTTAAATTAAAACATTAACGGTACTTATCTTTGTTAATTATTTTGTACAATATTGAAATTGTATAACACTTATACCTTAATAATGAAAAAAATTGCATACATTTAGGATGAGAAACTTAACATAATTGAGAGACTATTTCTATTTCAATTATTTTTCATATATTTGGGAGTAAATTATTAAAAATAAAAATTTTTTTTTTTTTAAATATGCAAATTCTTAAAAAATTAATAAATTTCTTATAAATTCAAAGTTATCAAACTGGTGATGGTATTAGCCATCAACAACAAGGTCATATTAATAATCCGGGTACTGATTGGGCTGAAAATGTTGTAAATGGACAATATTCATATACTGGTGATGATGGTAAACAATATACAGTTAGTTATAAAGCTGATGGTAATGGTTTTCAAGCTGTTGGTGATCATTTACCAACTCCACCACCACAACCAAGAGAAATTCAAGAGTAAGTTTTTAATTTTTTAATTAAATTAATTTTTAATTAATTAATTTAATAAAATTTTAATATCTGTTTCTTATATATATAGAGTTTGGAATCGTGTTTTAAGTCAACAAGCTGCACATGGTGGTGGTGATTGGCAACAAGGTGGTGGTAGTGGAGGCAGTGGTCATTATGGTGGTGGTAGCGGTGGTAGTGGACATTATGGTGGTGGAGGATCATCTGGATCATGGCAAGGTGGGTCTGGTAGTGGAACTTCATGGCAACAACAACAAAGTTATGGTAGTGGTCCATCAAGACCACATCATGGTGGTGGTGGTGGTGATCATGCTAGTGGTGCTGCTGGTGGTTATGGACATGGTGGTGGAGCAGGAGGTGGTGGAAGACCACAAAAACCAAGTAATCAATATTTACCACCAAATAGTGTTGGAGGTGGCTCAGCCGGTTATCATTATTAATATACGTAAATATTATATTGTATAATAATAATTATATATATATTGTATTCGTAAATTTAAGCTTTTAGTCTAAAAGTAAAGCTAAGTAAAACGAATTTGCCAGAAAATTGTAATATGAAATTTGAATTTATACGATCTTTTTTCTCTGTTTATTATTTTAAAAAGCGACAATTGTGATTCAAAACAAAAAATAAAAAAAAAAAATGTAAAATAAAAAAAAATTAAAAACACGTGTTATTTTTAGGCATTATTTTTTCCAAAAAAAAAAATTAAACTTTTCTTTTTCGAAAATTTCATATTCGAATTTATATATAAGTACGTTTGTGTATATAATATTTTGATGTAAAAGGAAACTGTAATAATTTTATGTTTTTTTTTTTTTTGATAATGTTATGAAAATATTTTAACGCATTTAAATAAACAAAATAATTTTGTAATAAATATTTAAAATAAAATAAAAAAAAAAGAAACTTAACGAAACCACAATTTTAAATTTATTCAATAATGGCATCAAAAACCACAAAGGTTTCCTAAAACAAAAAAACAAAACAAAAAGCTTAAATTTATTAAGCAGCTGTTTACATGCTGATTTTCTAAATATTTTGAAAATACCAGTTTTTTTACGTGACTTATGAAATTCAATTTCATATAAAGAGAAATACGAATGAATAATAAATTCGAAAACTCAAAATGAATTCGAAAACTTTTAAAATACTAACATGTTAACCTACAGACCTACATAAAAGCCACATTCAAATGTAAAATTTGTAATAGAATACGCACGTATGTACACGACTGGCGTTTATTTCAAAAATAAATAAAAAGATTAATTTACAAAAATACATATGAAAAATACGATCTTCTATAACATGACCAAAATGGGCACAAAAATATTTAACACTATTATTATATAGAAGGAGGCGCCATCACTTAAAATAATTAATTATATTAAATTTTGTAATTTAATTCTAATTATTGAAAATAATTTTAAAGAGAAAACTTAATACGTTATAAGATTTCGTAATCTGATCTGGCAATGAAACAAAATATGAACGCTATACATACGAAGCGTTAATGTATATAAGTAATATTTTAAATTAAACATGAGGTAAATAGAAATGGGATCAAATTTAAACTTTAATATTATGGGTAGTATATTCAATATCTTACATATTTTGGTAAATAAATTCAAATTCAACATGCAGCATGAAAATTTACAAGACATTCAAGAACATATTCGACTACCTCATATCACTTATAATTTGTATTCATCTTAAATAATTGCAATTTTTAAATTTTATTACATACATATATATGTACATACACCCAACGACAAAAAAAAGTTTCCACTAAAATTTTTTTGGTTAGACCAGTTTTATGGAATAAAAAATCACTGTAGATGAAAAATTAAAATTACAAAATTTATATATTTAAAATTTTTGGTTAATATAAGATATATTTTCAAAAAAAAATTTTATTATTTAACATGACTTGAGAAAATATTTGCTAATTTATATTAAAAAGACAAAAAAACGTAACATTTCATTTCTTAAGAAATAAATAACAATGTAACAAATTCAACTTCAATATTGTAAAATTAAGAAAAAAAGGATTCATTTTGGTAAAACGGATTAATTTTAGTAAAAAGCTGTTATTTCAAACAATTTTTCTACAAATATTTTAACTTATTTAAGGTTTAGTAAGAAGTAGTGCCGCCCTTTGCTTCAGGTACGGCTTTTACTCGTCTGGGCATTGATTTGTAGAGCTTATCTGTATAAGATGGACTTAGTTCGTTCCGCCACACGTCTAAAATAATTCTTTTTAGCATTTGCATAATTGATAGCTCTTTTTCTCTTATCTTTTTATCCATAACGTGCCATACATGTTCTATTGGGTTTAGATCTGGACTATTTCCTGGCCAATTTAACGACACTATACCTAAATATTCTTTATGCTAGTTCACCTATTGAACAAAAAAAAAGTGGAGATTAAAACACAAATAACGAAATTAAATTTGCTATCAAAAATACTTGCATTTTTAGCTCTGTGACAAGGAGCAGAATCGTCCTGAAAAATGACTCCATCCAGATTTTCGAAAAGAGATTCTATCTCTGGTACTACGCCTTCATTAATCATCACTATATATTTATTTGCGTTCACAAATCCATCAAGCAATAAAATACTACCAACTCCGTCTTAAGTTATGCATCCCCATACCATACAATAACTTGAATGTTTTACCGTCGATTTTATAGTATTTGTGTTATATCGTTCATCATTTCTGCGCCCCACCCTTAGTGTACCATCCGGCCCCATCAAATTAAATTTTGATTTGTCTAAAAATATGACCTTCCTCCAATCATATTCGGTCCAGTTTATATATTGACGACACCATGCGAGCTATTTTTCCTTCATTTTGTTCGTTAAAAGAGGTTTTTTTGCTGGAATTCGCGATTTTAACCCCATTTCGTTTAGCCTCCTTTGAACTGTTCAAACACTACAAGGCACGGATTGGGATTTAATTAGTTCCCCCTGTAGTTTAGTAGCCGGCAAGAATCTATTTTTCAAACTTAGACGCTTCAGATGAGCTTCGTCTCGTGGTGACGTTACTTTCTTTCGTCCGGACGCTTCCTTCCGTGTTAGACAACCTGTTTGCTCATATATAGCATTTATTTTGTTCACACAAGTGTGACTGCACTTTACACGACGTGCAATTTCACGCTTGCTTAAATTATTTTCAAAATAAGCAATAATTTCTGCCCTTTTTTCAATTGACAATTGCTTTTTAAAATCCATTGCACACTGTAATCCATCAAAACAATTCACTTAAAAGCACTTCACTTCCTACTAAACTGTAACTTCTTCAACACAAAATACTCAAAACCTATTCGACGCCATAAACAAAGTACCGTTATAAATAAATCAGCCGATGTTGCCAAGTTTTTTTTAATAAAAAATGAATATTTATGTTTAGAATTTAATGGAAACTTTTTTTTGTCGTTGGGTGTATATATGCAAAAATATTATTTTTTATTATAGATATCGGAAGTGGTTTAACAACGTTATTAAGTTGAAAATTTTCTGAAAACCAAAATTAAACAATTATTTTAATATATGTGCTCGTATTGTATAGTTAAATTAACCTTGACTTATGACATTATTCGCAATAACATTCATAAATACATACATACATATTATTATTAAAGTAAAACCTATTCTAATTTTAAAGTAGTAAATAAAGTTCATCATATTTTATAAATTACTATAATATATTTACATACTTACATATACAATTTGTATTAATTTATTCGTATATACGCAGAAAATGTATCACACCACCCACTCAAATATATACGTTAAGTATTGTTATATTTAAAAGTCTTATTAGCTATATTAATTTCTGTTTCATAAAGGCTTAATAAAATTCGGAATCGGAATGCGTTTGACTATAAAAATTGCAAATGCCATCTATTGGAATAGACGAGTTACTATGCCTTTACATAGGCTACAGGCCCTATACAGTGCTTTACATAGACTGGTATTGCTGAGATTGTTGAGTGTCTACACAGCGATGGATCTACCCGTATATCCAAAGTGAAAATTTAAAATTATAAAATTAATTTTTTTTTCAATTTTTGTTATTAGAGTGTTTCTTAAAAAAAATCTTTTTCTTTCTAATTACACTGAATAACTCAATGCTGGTCCAGGCTTTAATTCTATAGCTGATCTTCCATTTAGCATGATGATACTTCATGTGCAATGTTTATTGCATATTATTCATTGCCAAAAAAAAAAGGGAGGAGAGGCGGATCATGCAATTTTTGCATACCGCATAGGGCGCCAAACAAACCAGAACCAAGCCTGCATCTACAATATTTATAATTTTTTTCCAACTTGTGTGTTGGCCTGCGTTTAAAATAAAATTTAATGCATTTTCATACGCAAAATATATAGCGCGAAAATTATGCATCTATTGTTGAATACATATATGAATTTATAAAATACTATAATTAGGGGTGCAAAATATATTTAAAAAGATTTTAATAATTTTGTTTGCAAATATATACGTGCACATTCTGGTATACTACAATATCTAATTAAAATACGCTTTTATAAAGTCATCATTGTGCGCGATAATTGCAATGTGTTTTATTATTCATCCAGTTAAAATAAGAATAATGTGAAATGACTTTATATTTTCTACGAATATATACATGCCTTTATAAACTTTTTATATTAAAGTTTACAAAGGAATTAATTCATAATAAATATTTAATGTTTTGCATTATAGTTATAAAAGTTATAAAAGTTTAACGAAGATAGTGAGAAAAAATTTATATTAAACTTGAAAATTGTAACATAAAAAACATGTGTGTTTGTATGAATTTGTTAAGAAAATTGTGTGCATACTTGTGCGGTTTATATGACCTTTTTTTATATTCAGTAGAATGACATAGAGTAGCAGATTTGGTTGCGTTTTCTTGGTGAATAAAATGTGATGAACAAGTCAGCTGAAAAAAGTAAAAAAGTCTGTGATAATTAGTATTATTTCCATGCGGAAATTTCCCGTGAAATAGAAATAATGTTAAATTTCAGTGGATATTCCTGTAAAAATTCCTTAAAATTATTCCTATTCCTTGAAAATAATGTTATACTGGAATAGGAATTATTCTATAAATTTAAAATATCAATAGTCTGACATTTATTTTTCAAATATAACTGGAAATGTAAAGCCATCTTACGGAATTATTGTGCGTTATTTCATAGTCTAATAGTTCTCTTTTAAACATAAGCAAATTCGATTTGGAATATTATCTGCTTGATCAATGCATTATTATAGATAGAATTTTAAAAATAGCATAAACATGTTAATATATTTATTCCGTTGGATGGCTTGCTTTAGTTTAATAAGCATAGGAAACATAATATTGACATTTTAATTCATGATTTCCTCCTACATATAATTCAATATCTATATCTACATATGGAAGATTTTCTCAACTTTTCCCCCACTGCTCCTTTTATATCATATATATTAATTCAATTTTCGTATACTCAAGTCACAAACCGGATATTGTTCTATATTATTAACATTTTGTCTTTGCTATCTCTTAAAATCTATAGCGATTATGTGATATACAGTCTCAAAATTTAGTGATTAGTGCGGGATCTTCTAATTTTATAAATTTTCTATGAGATTTACAAAAATTTTTTACTATAAAATTTTGTATATCTAATATAGTAATGATTCATTCATTTTAAAATTCAATCTATTTTTAGGTAATTATTATGCCGATGAAAAAAAAAATATTTAAGATTTAAGTTTTAATTTATAGTATGGACACAAAACAAAAAAAAAAATAAACAAAAATTAAAAATATTAGCGTCAAAATAAAAATTTCTTAGATTTCATTGAACTTATCCAGCAGCTC